GAGAATGAGAGTTTCGAACCTACTCTCTCTTAGCACCCTAACACTATTTTATTAAGATAGATTTGAATAATTACAAGGAGGCCCTTAGTTGGGCAAAAAATTACAAAGAACTTAATATAGACAGGATGGGCCCAGAATAAGGCCCATTACAGAAAAACATAAATAACAAGAAAGAATAAACAGCCTATGGGCCATTCGGCCCATCTTCTCTACACAGACACAATTCCTCCTCATCCTAACCCTTGTTTAGATGGACCTCAAGATCTGTTAACTCACTAGCTGATAGGGGGAGGCATGGGAAGTTCAAGTTTGCTATCATATATTTCTAGGTTCCCCTCCCCTGTTCTCGAGCTTCTCCCCCTCCCTCTCCTCCTCTTCCACATGGGAACAGGCACGAAACATCATCATTTTCCTCAGGCAATTCGGTGGTTCTCCATAGCGTCGCTTCAGCTTCTGACGTGATCCAGACTCTCTGCCAACAGCCATCCACCTGCAACTCAATTGATCATTGGATAACTTTAGGAATCAGGATGCACCCCCGATATTCCCATTCTTGCAGCATGAAGATCCTGTAAATCCAGAAGCTTCACCGAAATTAAATCAACTGAGAAAAACTTACTGTTACAGTTAGGGAACCAGTGCTCCACTGTAACCACACCATCACACGTTTCTATTGCCTGTAAATCCATTATTTCTTCTTCAGATTCAACAGTAGCCTTTCTTCTATCAAAAGGTCTGATCAACAGAATTTGGTCGTGGGCACCTCCATAACCGGCTTCCAGTCAGCAACTTCCTTCGCAGCTGTTAACACCAATTTTTTCTTCCACCTTTCCTTTTCTTCAATCAGAACCATCCTTGGAGTCACTGTCGGTCAAACCACCGTCATGGTATTGAAACTCTTTTCTTCAACTTCACCCCCTTTTGAAACCGACCTTCTTCTCCTTCCCCTTCGAGCTTTGTTTTCTCCTTCCTCATTTGAAATTCCTGAATCGCCTCAGCTATCAAGGCCCAGCCCCTCCTCTGTTATCCCATTGGGATACAAATCCTCTTTATTCTTCTATCTACCAGTTCTTCTGTGAAGGCAACGAACCAGGCTTTCTCATTTCTCTTCATCACTACATCGAAACTCCTTCCCTCCTTGAAACTATTCCTCCATTCTGGTATCCTAATAGCGTAAACAGCCACACCCAGAAAACCTTTGAACCAAGTCACTATGTCTTCCAGCAATAACATTGAGGTCCAATTTTCCTCATAAAGCTTCAGATAATCCAGTCCTTCGCATCTCAATTCTACCAGCCTGAATTTCTTTGCTTCTATCACAATTTCCTTTGACCGCACTATTTTTGAACCTAAATTTCCTCTCACCACAGTCCCTTCTCATAACCATCTGACCTATTCAATTTTTTTTCTTTATCTAATCTTGCAACCTCCCATTCCCAAATCTCTTTGTTTGCTTTTCCGCAATCTACCTTTTTTCTTCTATAGTGTGGTTTGAACACTACTCTTCCCACCTCGAACTTGGTGTTATGACCAAGAGAGAACAGCAAAGGAGAGAGAAATAAGCTGATCTCATCAGGCCAACTAGAGATCCTTCACTCCATTCCAAAAACAAAGATATTAAATACAAAAATAAATAACACTAGTAGACATCTTAGCAGCTTCCTTCTCGCCCATCTCTTGAAAATCATTTGTGCCAATATTTGCCTCCATCTATTCCTCTTCAAAGAAGACATCCTATAGGACTGGTGGTTTCACTCTTTGCTTTAAGCTTAGGGGATTAAGTCTTTGTAATTATCTCATTTTTTTTTATAACATTGATTTGAATTATATTAAAATGAAAACAGAATATGTACAATACAAACAGGCATTCCTTGGAAAGTTAGAGGCACTCCCCCCTCCAAACAATTTAATCTCAAATTGCAGTTGTCCCCAAAACAATTGATCCCTGTTAGCCCCCTGTTTAGCTAATGCATCAGCTATCCCATTGGCCGACCTTTGGACCAATTGAATCCTTGTAATCATGTTTCTTGTAATTATCTCATTTTTAGTCTTAATGAGATCTACATTATTGATATAAATGCTTGTTAGGATAAAATTCAGTAGTACCAAATACTATTGGAATGGATTATAGCATTATCCATTCTAAATTTAGCTTTTGATTCTTAACCACTGATAAAGTGTTAGTGCCTTTATATACAAATTAAGAATGCCATTTTTATGTCTGCATCCTCATTTGTTTGGTCAATGGATTAACTAAATTTCTCTTACTACAGAACAAGTACATTATCTCTTCCTTTTCTTTTATTTATTATTTGTCTTTCTACCAAGTTTCAGTGGTCCATTAATTTCTAGAAGATCATTCATAAAAATGTAATTTATGCAGGACTTTGCCAAAAATATCAAGGGAAGATTTTGAGTCCATATTTCATGAACTGGATGATAGCCATGACTTCAAGGTATTGTGTTAATGTTTTTGATGAAATGATTTGTCTGATCAGCTGACTCTTCAGAGTCCTTGTAAAATTGCAGATGTCACATCAAATAATGCAGCTACTGTTACAGTGTAACAAGAAGGGTTGATGAGTATCCCTGCTATACAGTTCACCAAGAAGTCCCTAAACTACTTGTCAAGGTTAGGGAAGAAGGGGCTGAGTTCTAGCAGTATTGAAACCACTAGGTTCTGAAAAATCTGACAGAAACCAGGGCTGAGATCCTCTGGTTTTTTGTGCAAGAAAACTGAGAAGAGAAAAGCAGGAAATAACTAAACTCTCTTTATTCCTTCCAAGAAAACTGCCTTACAATCAGTTCTTGTTGTCTTAAATAGACCTTTCCATACTTAGACTTGGAAAACAACCAGGAAACCAACATTAGAAAGACTCCTAAACTGAAAATTACTCTTATTATAAGAATCCTAAACTGACAAATTACTCTTATAAGAAGAATCCTAAACTGACAAAACTACTCTTATGACATGTTGAACAAGAGAAAGGGAGAGAGGAGAGGCGAGAGGACTGAGAGCCCAAAAAGAATACTGCAGGCATGCAGTATGTTATTATTTATACTAGGATGGCCGTACAACTTAAAGAATGAAGAAA